GGATTAACGGTAATTACATTGAACCTTATGGGAAAATTTGCTTCGGGTCGCAACCAATTCGAGTCGCGACCAGAGTCACGGAACGAATTAAGTTCGTAAACCGAGGTTCCACTGTATAGTGAATGGCAGAGACAGGGCTGGATGGCCTATTGCCAGATACCCTTTAAAAAAAAAATCTGGGTGCTCTTTGGATGATTTTGATCTTAATCTATAACCTAGAGGGGAACAAAACTACAAATCTGAGATAAATAAATCAACCAACAATTCTATATACTCCTCTCTAAAGCAAAATATATCAAAAGGTTTACAAAACATTTCATTTCAAAATATCATCAGCATAAATTTCATGAAATGCCCCACCCTGAGCATGAAAATGATGTTCAAGTGTGAAACAAGGCTGGTTTATGCATTTTTGAAGCATTTCAACCTTGTAATACTCTGAGCTTGAAATGTTCCCAGAAAGCTGAGCCAGGCGGTTATCTGAAGTTTCATGCTTGACACATTTGGAAACAAAATGCTTTGCACATCCCTAATCAAAAGTCTGAAAAACTGGAAGTGCTTTTTTCTGGCAACTGCAAACCAAAACGCTGGAGAGATCAGTGCCTTTCCTTTAGCTAAAGGTTCCTCAACCTTGGCAACTTGAAGACGTGTGGACTTCCACTCCCAGAATCCCCCAGCCAGCAAGCCAGGGCTGGCTGGGGAATTCTGGGAGTGGAAGTCCACACATCTTCAAGTTGCCAAGGTTGAGGAACCCTGCTTTAGCTAAACCAATATAATAGGGATAAGTAGCCTTTGGTGACCAAAGGAAGCCCTTAACCTTCCTCCAGGAGCCTAGGGCTACAGGAGGCAGGGCAATGATGCAACGTGGTTGGGGCTATGTCACTCACATGGACATTGCCAGAATTTTCTTTTCTTCTTTGGGAGTGGGGGAAGGATGGGGTCCCAGTATTTTATTCTATACATTAACTCATATTTAGGACTTCTGCATTCCTCTCCTCAAAGCGTTAGAGAACCATGCCACTGATTTTCAGTTATCGTAGCTGGTGGGAACTGCAGAGGCTACCAAAAAAGGGTACTGAAAAGCTACAAGGGGCCCTGGGGCTTCAGGTTGCCCACTCCATTATTGAAAACAAACACAAAAAGCTTGTGTGTGTCAACTTTCAACTCACACAATATCCTGTTCAGGAGGGCTCTGACACAGAAACAATATGGTACCGTTTTTCAAAAGGAAAAGACACCATTTTCTATATCAGGACTATTACGGGAGGAATTAAATGCTTTTACTTACCATCCGTCCATACATTTTAATGGGTAACCCACATTTGTCACAGAAATGGACTGGGGTGTCATCCTTCTCTCCAAGTAAATTTATCTATCAAAATCCAAACATCACGTTTCATTAGCTGATGATTGCCCTTGTGCTTACATACTTATTGAATGCATCTTTAGAAAGCTTATTTTTTTTAAGTTTTAGTATGATTTTGTTAGACATTTAATAATTTAATGACAACATGCTAGTTGCTATACCATTTCTATTTTTTAAAAAAGGTAGCAAACTCCTGTTTAAAACAACATTTGAATTTTTGTAGGCAAGCTAACTTATATTTAATATTGAATCAATTCCCATACCTTGAAATCCCAGAAGAGGTGCCCAGGGAACCTTCGTTGGTTACTAAATACATCAGCGCCTTTGCAATCATACCGTTCTTCTTCATTGTAGTCAAACTCTTATGGAAAACAAAGCCCAAACAAACATTTTAGCATTAGCTCTCACCCTAATAAATAAAATTGTAGTCTAAGGATTAATCCATAAACCCCTAATTTAACGCCTGTAAAATAGATCACGCTTTTAGAGATGATAAGATGACACAAAGGACTTCTTGGATTAAATAGATAGTACAGGTAGTCCTCATTTAGCAACCACAATTAGGACCAGCAACTCAGTTGTTAAGTGAAACAGTCACTAAGTGAAACCACAACTGTGCTTATGATCTTATTCTCCATTACTTACAGACCTGCAAAAATCGTATAAATGCAAGGACTGGTCACAAGTTACTTTTTCATCACCATCGTAACTGTGACCGGTTGCTAAAAGAGTCAGTCGCTAAAAGAGAACTACCTGTATCTATGTGAATGCTAGCTAAGAGAAGACAGGAGAAATAGAATGCTTGATTTTTAAAGAAGAATACAGATTTCAAGCAAAAACCTGGTGGAACAGAATCAGTGGGATATGGTTTTTCTTGGACATAAACTCTACAGAAAGGCCAGGGAACAGCGCACCAGAGGAGGTATTGTACTTTATACGAACAAAAGTATTAAATCTAATACGCTAGAAAATACTGAAAGACTGAAATCCTCCACAGAACCTGTCAAAATCTACAGGTGATTTTGAAATGGAAAAATACGTTTATTGTCACAAGCTGCCCAAAGGCTTACAAAATAGGCAGCAGACAAATAATGCTAAACAAATAAACAAACAAGAGAGGTATGCAAAAGTGAAGCTGCTGTAAGCATAGAGAACTTCAGTTACTCCCACCTAAACTGGATACAAATGTCCTCAAGCCACAGCAAAGAAACCAAATGAAATAACTGTGCCTTAGAATAGTCCAGTGTTTCTCAACCCTGGCCAAATTTTTAATGTGTGGGGTCCAACACCCCCAATAAACCCCTATTATTTGTTGAGGGTGTG